TAGAAGCAAACGTTTTATTCGTTATTTAAATAAGAGATTGGCCTTCAATGGATATTAAGAGAAAAGAGACGAGAACACCTACATCTGACATTTCTTAAAGAATTAGTAAAAAAAAGAAATGTATCAATCATTCTGACACGACTATGTTAACCACGCAAAAAAACTTTCTGTCACCATGAGTTTAATCTATCTCATTAGACCATCAAAAAAATAGTGACAAATAATCATATGTCTAACCTTTCTCTTATAAAATCTCACAGTTTAAATTGATTGGCTCAAACAAAAGAAGTCAATCATATTTGAAAAGAGAGAAGAAAAAAAAATTCATTGACAATACGCTTTAATATATATACATGAACTTTCATTTATTTTTTAAACTAAGCAAAATAGAAAACAAATGAAATAATGTTTATAAGAGATATTCTTTTATTCATAGGTCATGAGTATCCTTATTCAATTAAAATGAAACATTTAAAAACTAGTAATGCTATACTTACAAATCATCGATCATTTGATGGCGATGATGATTTAGCACTTTCAACTAATAATCAACATAATTCAACTACCAGTTTAAATAATGTACCAACACCAAATTATCATGATTTTGAATTACGCAAACGTGATATATCAACAGGTTAGTCTCATTAGTTGTTTTTCTCAAAAATAAAACTTCAAATTTTAGATAATCAATCAAGAAAATATCGATTTTTTCATAAACGAAAAACTAAAACACAACAACAATTAACCGATGGATATCATTCATCATCAACACCCTATCTTAGTTCACCAAATCAAGCAAAAAGTTACTCATATTTATTCGGTCGATCACTTGATGAATTAATCTTAAGACATAATCATCAACTACCACCTGTAATTATGGTATAAAAAACAAAATTTTCAAATTTCGTATAAAATTTTAATTGGTTTCAAAATTTTTCGTTTTTAGCAATTATTTGAAATTCTTTATGTAAAAGGACCAGAAACAACGGGAATATTTCGTAAAGTAGCTAATACACGATCAGTTAAAGAATGTATCGATAAAATTGAAAATAATATCGCATTACAAGATGATGATTTACATCCAATATTAGCTGCTGGAATATTTAAGGTAAAGATAAATTTCTTAATTATAAGATAGACAGTGAAATTCTAAACATGGTGAATAGGAAAACCAAATACGTATACAGATAAGAGATGGCACAGGGTATAAAAGTGTTACAACTAATAGTTCGTCCTCTCTCCCTTCGTGGCGTTCGATGTTTTCAGATGACTTTTCTGTAGGTACTGCTTCGTTATTTAATTTTGATGCTTTGAATTATTGTCTTGTTACAAACGCCAGTATCGATCGATTTTGTAATTAACATAGCTATATATAGATCTTACTCTATCTTGAAAATTCCCTTCAGAAAGCTGACTTATGCACCTTATTTTATATCTATTTAATATTATTCTTTAGCATTTTTTACGTTCGTTACCTGAATCATTATTTACTTCGACTCAATATGATAATTGGAAGAAATGTCTTCGATTTCCAACATTACCAGAAAAGATCTCATTCGCAAGAAAAACGTAATATTATATACTAAATAAGATTTACAAATCTTATTTACTGTTTTTTTTTGTATCTCTAGTGTTCTATCAACACTATCCGAAGCAAATCATCTATTATTAAAAGGTTTTATATGTATTCTTTATCATATATCTGAACATGCTAGTACAAATGGAATGAATCCATTTAATTTGGGTTTATGTGTATCAAATAGTTTATTTAAATCGGAAACAACAACAATAAGATCAGGCAAACAAGAAGCTGATGTTATGTCATCAATTGTTGAATTTTTGATTCAAAATTGTTCATTATTATTTGGCTCAGATATTCTTACTTGTATACCTGATAAACGTATTATTGTTCATCAAATACCAAATTTAAGTATGATACTAATCAAAAGAAATTATTTTTATAATTTAAAACTTTGATTTTAGCTCGTCCAACAGCTTCATCCATAGAAAGTCTTGATGAAGTTGAATCATCTCCACATTTACCTCTTGTTAATCGTTCACATGATTCTGGTTTAGCTGCATCTGATCAACCATTTAATGATGATAGTTCAGAAATTAGTGAACAATTTCAACGTGTTGCAACTCCTTTATCAATACATATACCTGATTGGACATCATCAATTGTTTGTGGTAAAGGTATTGTTTTAACAAGTATAGTTACAAATAATTCCAATTCAACATTAACAACATTATCTGTTACACGACGTCGTAGTTCAAAAAATACTTATAAACCATCGAAACAATTTTTAGAACGAGAAAAATTAACAAATAATACAACAGATGAATCTGATCATAATTCAAGTATACGTTCATCAGCAACAACAATACATAATATAACAATAGGAAAAGTTAAACGTTCGAAATCTTTATCACGTCATTCATCATTAGGTAGTGCTGAACATAAACAACAACAACAAAAACAATTAACAAAAGAATCTCGACGTTTAACAACAAATGATGTTAAACGTACATCATCATTAAAACAATTTCATCATGATTCAGATGAAGCTGGTGATGATGATGATGAAAATGAATATATGAAAAAAATAAAAAATAAAAATTTATTAATCAATGAACGACGAACAAAATTAAATAGATCAAAATCAAATATTAACAAGAAAAATATCGAAGATGAATGTTTAATGACAAGGTTTGTTAGATGAAATTATTATTACTCTCGAGTAGAATTAACGAATTTTGAGATGAAATGATTTTTGGACTAAAAGATCAGAAGGGCTATTCACATCGCATATTTAATTTTTCGAATATATACAAAAATAGAACAGAAAGTACGATTAGTATTGATCTATTTTCAATTAAACCTAGTAGCACCAAGTCTTTTTTACGACCGCAAAAGAATTTTTATATGGTCACTTATCACATCTGAAAATTATTGTTCATTCCTTCTCCAAGCCTCCATTATCAGTTTGTACTTGTAGAGGAAAAAACCTATTCGAATCCGATTGAATTTGCAATGATAAAAATTTGAGTCTGTATTGAGAATTAATTTTTTTCATAAAAATCTCTTGGATTGATGCTTTATTTTATCAATATTAGTTAGTTTTTGATTTCATTTGAATATGTTTCCGATTAATAATAAAGAGCTATTATATGAAAAGAACATCTTTATGAATTTCCTGAATCTATGAAAACATCTCTATAGGATATACAAAAATCAGCGTTAGTATTTCATCTTGATTCACAATCTAATAAAATAAAGATTAGGCTTTTTTTACGAACAAGAATACAGATTGATGAACTAAAAGCAAATTTATAAATGCTCAAGTCATCATTTCCGATTACGAAAAAAATCAGAGCTGTAAATAGACATTGATGTATCAGTTACTAATAAAATTCATAGTATTAATCAAATAGAATTTGATACGTTGCCATTTATTTCAAATTTCAAAATCTTCATTTTACATAATACATCTTTCTCATTAATCGTAACATATTATTTTACAAATTATGATATATAAGCTTTATTTATTTACTAGATCAACATCTCCTGAAATACAAGATTTAGATTTAACTACTGAAACATTAAGCACAATAAATCAACGTTTATCAAATTTATCTTTATCAATGCCAGCAAGTTCAACATTATTTAAATCGAAACAACCTGATCTTTCACTAACAGAAACATCGACATCATTAATGAATTCTTCACAACAACCAATTATAGGTGATAATCGTTCTCGATATATTAGTCCATTGACATCAACAACAAATATAAATACACAAAAATTACATACAGAACGTAATCGAACATTTATTCATCATTCGGATTCACGTTCATTTGTACTTGGTGAAGCAATACAAATGAAACCAATTAATAATATGATTTTACCTAATGATAAACATTATTCATATCATCGATATAAATCACATGATCAAGAACAACAATCACGTATTTCACAACCAATTATAATTAATCATAATCCAACGAATATTTCACGTTATCATTCAATTGAAAGACGACTAACAACATCATCACCACAAATGATAAAAACATTTTCATTTGATTCAAGTACTGAATTAGCTTTAGATGATAATTCCCTGTCAGTACGTGAAAAAGCAAGATTATTTGAACAACAAAAATTATCAACTGGTCGTGAGAATTATGTATGATGTTTATATTGATTATTTTTGTGTGTGTATGTTTGATTTAACAACCGGTGATGTGTGATACTTTCGAGTTTTGTCTATCTCTCTTTCCCTTTCTTTTTCTTTTTGTCTTGTTTCGGATGTGTGTATGATGACAGATTTTCTTTCATTCCATCATTCTTTCTTAATCTCAGACTCAGGTGTACGAGTTTAGCAGCAAAACTTTCTTATGAAAACTTCTGTATATATGGTAGATACATGTGGTGAGTTTTTATTTTATTTCTTCTTTCATCTTTATTGCGATTTTTTGAATATCAGCATAAAGATTTCTCTTTCTTTTCTTATTTGGATGATCCTATTCATATATATACATATATTCATACTTATATCTATATATTTTTTTTTTCTCATGTGAAATTTATCTGACGAATTGATCAGATTGATAAAAGAAAAAAAAAAAGAAAGATTTACTAACAAACAACAAATAAAATGTGATAAAAATTATCATGAAGAGATATGAATTTTAATTATCATCTATTTATTTTTTTTCAATATTCTAATGATATGCATCAAACGAAAAATCAATTCAATTCCAAAATAAAATCGATGATAAAGAAAAAAAAAAACATTTTTCTCAGTAAAATATGAATTCATCTAACATATAGATTTTATTTTCGATATTTACGATACATGAATACATCTAAGACTAACTTTAAGAAATATCACTGTTACAAATCTGATATACATACACATATATAAAGATTACAATTTTGACGATATGTAATGATAATATATATAAATAATAAATATGACTAGAATAAAGAATGTACACATTATAATAAACTATAATCATCATCAAGACGTTTCCCAGTGGATTTATTATTTTCAAGAATAACTTGTGTTGTCGTTGTTGCAGTTGTTGTTTTCGGTCCAGTTTTAGCTTTAAAAAAAAAGCAAATGAATAAAGATAAATTAATTGTTAGTAGTTTTTTTTTCTACATACGAGAATTTAATATAGTTGCATAATTTTTTCTTTCACTTTTCATTAAGGGCACTGGTGAACGAAAAAAAACGACGGCAAACAAAATAGACCAAGAAGAATATAAATACACTTAAGATAATAAGTAAAAAAGCAGCTATCAGAATGCCACGCCAATGCTGACGTTTAGATGTTCTTGTACGATTATTTGATTCAATATTACCACTATTTGAAGATTCAGCATTACCTAAATAAAATACATAATAGAATTAAATCAATACTTTAGAAATAATATATTTTTAATTACTAGAAGTACATGAACGATGTGGTGACTCATCAGATTCATCCAAACAATGAGGCACACCTATATAATAAATAAATTTTAACAAAACAAAAAATATAATATAATCTTACCGTCACATAAGAGTATATTACTAATACATTCTTGATTACTACAAAGAAATTCTTCGTTATTTTCATCACAAGGATGTGTTTTATTTGCTTTAAAATAAAATAAAAAATTTAGATACATAAATATAATTCAATTTAAAAAAATACTTACGAGAACGAAAGGCAGTAAGAACAACTCGAAAACCGTTACCACTAACATTTCCACCATCGGTTCTAAGAAATAAAAATTATTAAAAAAAAAGAATGAATTAATTCAAATAATACTAACGAAAAATGAGCAGTAACAATTCCTGTTGGTGAAATAACAGTAAATCTTTCTTTTTCAGTTAATTGTCCACATTCAACTGTATTCTAAAATTAATCGAAAAAAAAACAATTAAATTTAATTCAATTATTTTTCAATATCAACAAACAAGTTTATCTAATCGATTAACATATGCTGATTTATAAAAACGAAGTGAATCTAAACAATTAACACCACCATGAATATCATTGAGATCTAATGATAATATACGAATACGTATTTGATTATCTTGTCGACGAGACTAAAAAAAAATAAATTTTGATTTTTCTTTTTTTGATATATAAAAAAAATCATACTTTAAATGTCATATAACAATCTTCATACGGTAAATAGGATTCACTTTTAGCATATGGATAAGATTTAAGTAATGCTCCTTCAATACGATATCCATCTCCGCAAACATTTGAACGTTTAATACCATCAATTGGTGCTGATGTCATGACATCTATTGAAAAGAGATAATTGTTTTATCTTACTTTTATATAATAAATGAAAATAATTTACATTCATCTGCACGTCGTAAACGATTATTATTATCGTCAGTTGTAAACGATAATACTGATGTTGCTTTTGTGATGCAAATACTCACAATGGAGACAAGCAACAACAATAGCAAAGCATCATACGTAATTGATTGCAAATAGATAACCATTCACTTGATAGAGAAAATGATGATGTATGATGATGATTATAATCAATACATATGTAGATCATATCTATAGTAACAAAAAAAGAAACTTTTTTTCTTCTTTTTCTTCGTATTAATCCGATCAAAATAATATGTCACAAGAGATAATTATGTGCCATACATACGACTTTGACATTTACTTTGAGTAACATTCAGCCATATTCAGTATTAGTAGCCAATCCTCAAATGAAGAAGAATAAAAAAAAACTCTTTTTTGACATTGAACAGAGATGTCGTTGTTCATCATCACTATGAAAAATAACAATACTATATACTTATAATACTTGATAGCATAAAATAGATCAGACTATCGTAATTAATTCCTAGATAAATTTATTTAATTAAGTAAATTTTAGTTCGGAAATAACTAATTATTATCTGATGGATTTTTTTTCCTCATAAAGTTCTCATGAGATTTATACTATACATAGTTTATGACGATTATAGAAGTAATTCTCGATCTCTATGATCAACGCGAATTTAAGTATGATAGATCGATTATTTATTGACTACAATTTCTTATTGATGTATATGATTTATTCGTCTGATTTTTAATATCCGGAGAAAAATAGAAATATTGATTAGTTTTCTTGAAATCTTGATAATTAATTATAAAAAATAAATTTTTATTGTAATTTCAAAAAAATATAATTATGACCTACTAATCGCTTAGTTTAAATTTTTTATAAGTTTGAAGGTTTCATTTTTTACGAGTCATAATAATCAACTTCATATCAATGACACAAACAAGATATAAAGGCCACAGATTATATCTGCTTCATACATTTCTTTTTATCAAAAACGGCAATGAACTAACACGATCAAAGTATATTAAATATATATCTGTAGCTTATGTTTTTGATTTCGAAATTTTCCAACATAGTTTATACACATCTATAGATTGCATTCATTGACTTTGCAATAGTTTAAATAAATTATTCGATTCAAGAACAAGAATGTTAACAATGAAAATTCATATTTTATTTATTTACTAGTTATCAACAATAGATTCAAGAAAACATTCTATGTTGTATCATGTTTAACAGGCATTGTTATTGTTAGAATCTAGAAAAATAAATATCTTTTGTAAATGAATAGCAAAAAAAATAGATTCTTCTTACATGAGTAGCTTTATCAAATTGTGCACCACATTCATCGGAATCAATATCAATTGGTAACCATATATCTAAATGATAGATATTTGAACGTGTTGACAAGACAATACGATCAGAACCAATATCTAGTGTTATTGTTTTCGAAGATTTCTAATAAAATAATATATATTAAAGATAAAAATATCTTCGTCGTTATTAAAAATATGAGAATCAACGTACTACTTTCGGTAATTGAATATCCATAATCAAAAATTCAGGATCACCTTCAATGGGTTCACGTATGATTTTATATTCTGGTATAGATCTATATTATACATATATACATAAGAATATTTTTTATATTTTGACATAATATCGGACACACCCTTTTTCAACAATTGAAGTTGTTTCTCTAAAAACAAATATATCAATAATTGATAGATATATGGAATTAGAATTTAACGAACATTTTTTGTTCGATATTATTTGTTTGTTGATCATCAACTTCGACAATAAATGGTTTAGCACGAACTCGAATATATTGTTCAGTTAATTGTCCCATATATTTACGATGTTTAAGTTTGATCCAGTCTGAAATTATTTATTGATTAGAATGAATCTTTTTTTTTATGTTTTTTATTGAATTTTGTTTTTTTTTGATTATCTTATCATTCATAAGTTTAGATAAAGCAAATCACTTATTTGTAACCAAGGTAGTACAATGACAAATCGAGTTATTTTTTGCTGTTCTATCGTTGTATAGAAAAAGAAAAAGAAGGGAGAGAGAGAGAGAAAATGACGATGACTTTCGGTTAAGATTCAGCGACAAAAAGAAAGTAAACAGAGACATATATATATATATATATACCTATGCATATAATCAGGTCATAGTAAAACTAGTCAATACGCTTCAATAAGCAAGCACGGTGTTACACTCGGTTGATCCGATTGAAAGTTATGTTAAAAGCAAGTAATATTCTAATGTCAACATATGTAGAGATTAACGTGCATGGAATTGAGAGAAGAGTAAATTGATCGCAGAATACACACCTAAGAAAAGAGAACAGAGACACCCGAGTGCTGCAGCAAACATTAGGCATAATCGATAGCAACGATGCAAGTAAAAAAAAAGGAACAAGTAATTCATCTGTCAAAAAAAAAACAACATTTTCCATGCATAGAACGAAGGTCTGAATGATTAAAATAAATAAAAAAAAAAGAGACATTTGTTTGTTGCTACTCGACGAGTGTTAAGTATCAAGAAATTTTTTTGAACTTTTTGTATTTATTGTAAGAAACATATATGTAGCATAAAAAAAAGAAGAAAGAAGTGTCGTTAATGTTCATTTCACTTGGCTCACTTGAGCGAACTCCTGAACAGGCCTATGATCGTTTCCTGTCCTCACCGTATGCCCACTTTTTTTTTCTTCATCGTCTTCTTCGTCTCTTTTTTTTACTTCACCGGTTTGTTATTGTTGTACGGAAAGTGAGAGTAGTAGTACTAGACACCACCATCCATAACAAAGTTTTTCTTTTTTTTTTTTTTTTTACTTTTCTCAGTTTTTTTTTGAAAAAAAAAGACGACGGTGCATATGAAGAAAGGGACGAAAATGCATTTATATATATATATATATATCTGGATTAGGGAGACGCACGCACAAAATAAGGACGCAGAAGAAAAGGGAGAAAGGAAGAAGAGAAATAATAATATGAATAAAACTATGACTACGTGGTAACGGTGGGACACTCTAAGAGTATAGCTCTCACTCATACTCTCATTCTCAGTTACTTACACAATGTAAAGACAGAAAGAACACGAAGAAGAGAATATCGGTGCCTAGCAACAACACACGTCGTGTCTACCTACTCGGTGCACCGTCATGTCGTATTTGGTTTAGACTCTCTTACGATTACTTTTTTTTTTTATGACTCGTCATTCGAGACGACCTCTCTTTCTCTATTACAGATCGAGCCATTCTCCTTATCCCTTATCCACATTACATTCTTTTATAAATCCATCGACATACAAAACGATATGAACGATCAACCAGGAGATTATTCTTCGATAGATGCATTTCATGTAGGCCGTCGACGTAAACCAAATTTTACTGATCATGAAGTTCTTAATATAGTTGATCAATATGATCAATATAAAGAATTATTACATTCACGTGAAGCATCAAAAAGTGTCATAGCACAAAAACAAGCTATTTGGAAAGGAATAACTGAAAATCTTAATGCAAGATATCCACAAGTTGAACGAACTGTTGAAGATGTACGACGTAAATGGAAAAAATTACAAAGTGAAGCGAAACGTGAAGCTGCTGCTTATCGTGCAGCACAAGCTGCTGGCTCAACAACGCCTGTATCAAGTAAACAAATAAATTTATATAATCGAATTTTATCCATATGCCGTGCACCAATATCAACAACACCTAATTTTGCTGCTGCTGCAGTTGCTGCTGCAATACATCATCAACAAGTTTTACAATTACAATCTAATATGAATAATGGAAGTAACAATAATTATGAAACAACATTTAATGAACAGGTTAGTAAATCTATTAAAAAAAATAAGAAAGTTGTTTTTTTCCCAGCTTCAGTTAATAATTATTACTCATATTCACTTACATAATGATTGCGAAATTATTAGTCATATTTTTTTTTCATTCTAAAACATGTGTTACTTTTCTATTTCGCCATTCAAAATAAATCCCATAAAAAAAATGTCTTTTTCTTCTTTTTTGTAAAAAGCATGACAAAGTTCGAAGAAAAAAAAGATAATTTGTGAACTATAAATATATATAAAATCAAATTTTCTCATTAAATATCTACATCCGAAACGACTCAGAATAGCATATAATTATTTCTAATTAAAATCATAAGAGAAATGAATTTATTTTAGTCATCCGATAAAATTGATTCACCATCATCAGATATTGGCAATGGTATGAATGGACACTTAGATTCACCAGGTGATGAAAGTGCTAGTCTACTTGGTAATGATGATAATTCTCCAAGTCCAGCAACAAGTCTTCAACCAACATCACTTTCATCATTTCTTCCATCACAACAATGTGCAACATCGATGACAAATATAAGCAATGGAAAAGTATCAAAACGAACATTAGATAAACAACGTAAACATTTAAAAACATTACAAAATAATCAATTTACTAATTCAACAAAATCCTATGATCAACAACAATATTCACTTCGTTATAAATCATTAATTAAACGTAAACGTACACTTGAATTAACAACACAACGACTTATTTATGATAAAGAACGTTTAATAATTGAACGAAAAAATCTTGATATTCAATTAGCAGTTAATGAATGTGAAAATGAACGTATTGCTATTGAAAAACGTCGTACTGAACTTGCTATACAAAAATATCAATGTGAATCATCATCATCATGTATATCAAATGGTATTAATAATCATTTATCTGATGATCATGAAGATCATGATGAAAAAAATAGTCTTGATGATATGAGTGATATTAATGAGTAGGTTTATTCATATGCACAACTGTATATGTTTTTCTCTTTTTATCAAATCCGTCCATTTTCTTTGCTATTTCTATTCCCGAATCTCTCTTTTTTTTTATTGTCTTAAATTAGCACCAGTGTGATATTGTTTGTTTTTCTTTTT